CGGCCGCCGCCTCCTCGGGGAGATTGGGGGGGGGGGATGGAGGACACGGAGCTCTTCCCCCCCCCCCCCCGCGAGTATCGCGGGTCCCCGTCTTGTAATTTATATAGCCAGTCTGCGTTAGGAAACATCCTGTTCAAAACCATCTAGGAGATCTACTGTATGCTCCTAAGTATACTTAGCTAGCTAGTGCCTTTAAGGAATGCATGAAAGGTTTACGGTATGATTCTATTGCAGACTTTGACATGTGTAATTTCGTTTTCTGCAAAACAAAAAGCCCACACTAATTGCTTGTTCTGACTCTTTGCAAGTCAGCCTTTTACTCCAAACTATTCAGTGGAAGTCCTACACAACAGCCCCTCCCGGCTGTTAGAAATGCAACACAATAGTTGGGACACTCTCAAGCAGTGGACATGTAAAGAGAGTTCAAAGTAATCTGTGGAATGATTCAGGATTCAAATTATGGCCACTCCTCTGTGGTTAATTCATGCACTCAAGAAGTTTCTTTCACGCTTGTGAGCAGCCCTTGATCACCCTCAGACACCCACAACCGTGAACAAACATGATAGGAAATGGCAATTGTTTCCACAATGACAGTAAGACTTTTTCTAGTAGTCTCAATCACAGGGCATGCTAATTCAACCTGTGGGATCACCCATTCTCATGTCAGGTTGCACGTGTAACGTCTATTGTAGCAAAGTCAGAACTGTGTGAGTATATAATAAAGTGGGTTGAATCTTGTGGGAAATTATCACCACAGAAGGGGGGGCGAGGGTTATTTTTGCAAATAGACTCATTCTGCTGCAGACGTCTGACTCTCCTCTTTGATTTTTTTTTTTGGGGGGGAGAAGCATTGTCTCTGAGGAGAAGCATTTGGGAGATCATTTTGGGCTGCAACAGGAAGGGTGAAGGAGTCCCATTCTGCTGATGGAAATTTAGCATGGGGTCCGAGCCAATGCCTTGTGCAAGAAACTCTGGATTGATGCATCATTCAGTTGACTGTACAGCCTCTGGGCATACAGCAGGGGTCACTGGGAAATGTAGGGGGGAGTTTGCTGTGAATTTCCTGCAGGAGATGGGACTAGGTGACCCTCTGGGTCCCTTTCCAGCTCTATGTTTTCTATTGAATTGAACTAAATGATGCTCCTTATAAACCAGAAAGACAACCAAATGCATCTTCACTTACCGGATTGGCTGCGACCAATTGCTGATTGTTTGCCACTCCTGAAAGGCTAATAATTGTGACAATGGAGTTGCACACAAAAGAGAAAAAAAGATTCTTATGCAGAGTGATCCTTTGGCAACTCAGGCTCCTGAAAGCAAAGGCACAAGAGAAAGAGTTAACAGGCACGGTCAAGAGGGAATCCCTCCGATTCCTCTCCTTTACGCAAACAGAATGCACATACAATCCCTTGAGAATAGGGAGTTGTCATCTGAACTCACAGAAACTTCCCAGATATCCATAGAAAAGAGTAGGAGTCCAGTAGGCACCTTGAAGACTAACAAAATGTGTGGTAGGGTATGAGCCTTCGTGAGTCACTGCTCACTTCTTCCGATACCTGAAGAATATCTTCAGATAGCTTCACATATCTGAAGAAGTGAGCCAGAGACTCACGAAAGCTCATACCCTACCACACATTTTGTTAGTTTTTAAGGTGCCTACTGGACTCTTACTCTTTTCTACTGCTACAGACAAACTAACATGGCTATCCATCTCAATCTATTCCCAGATATGAGTATTCTTAAATATACTGGTTTCACGGTATACATCAATATACTATCATGAGGAGATGCTCCTGTCTCCATTTTCCATGGCTATGCTTTTACCAAAAGAAACTGGGAGCAGCAGGAGGCGCCACCAGGGAATCCGCCACTTAACACTGAGGTGAAAGCCCTTTCTTGCCTAAGATCTTACAGGGTCCAAGAACTGACTTGGGATATTGTGGGAATTTGTGTGAAGCAAGGTCAGTTCTCACCTGATGAAACAGTCAGGACAGGCAAGGAGCGCAACCCATGTAGGCAAAGAAGCGTACTGTGCTTCGGCCACTCACTCCTTATGAGAACCAGGATGCTGGGGTTTTTTGAGACTCCTGATTGGTTATTGGGCTGTCCTGATTCTTGGTTGTTTGGGCGGACATGTTTCTTGGGTTTCTCCAGGGAGGTCCTTCCTATGGGTGGGATTCTCTTGTAAAAATGTCATCGGTTAAGTTGGCGTTTTGGACTGTGGGAGAGCAGGGAAGGAGAGAAAGTGGTGCTCTATCATGAGGAGATTCTCCTGTCTCCATTTTCCATGGCTATGCTTTTACCAAAAGAAACTGGGAGCAGCAGGAGGCGCCACCAGGGAATCCGCCACTTAACACTGAGCTGAAAGCCCTTTCCTGCCTAAGATCTTTCAGGGGCCAAGAACTGACTTGGGATCTTGTGGGAATTTGTGTGAAGCAAGGTCTGTTCTCACCTGATGAAACAGTCAGGACAGGCAAGGAGCGCAACCTGCTCACCCATTTAGGTGAAGAAGCGTACTGTGCTTCGGCCGCTCACTCCTTATGAGAACCAGGAAGCTGGGTTTTTTGGGGACTCTTGATTGGTTATTGGGCTGTCCTGATTCTTGGTTGTTTGGGCGGACATGTTTCTTGGGTTTCTCCAGGGAGGTCCTTCCTGACTTCCGACTTAGCGCTAGACGGAACAAGTATTCTTAAATATACTGGTTTCACGGTCTAATATACCTCAAACTATCATGAGGAGAAGCTCCTGTCTCCCTTTTCCATGGCTATGCTTTTACCAAAAGGAACTGGGAGCAGCAGGAGGCGCCACCAGGGAATCCGCCACTTAACACTGAGCTGAAAGCCCTTTCCTGCCTAAGATCTTTCAGGGGCCAAGAACTGACTTGGGATCTTGTGGGAATTTGTGTGAAGCAAGGTCTGTTCTCACCTGATGAAACAGTCAGGACAGGCAAGGAGCGCAACCTGCTCACCCATTTAGGTGAAGAAGCGTACTGTGCTTCGGCCGCTCACTCCTTATGAGAACCAGGAAGCTGGGTTTTTTGGGGACTCTTGATTGGTTATTGGGCTGTCCTGATTCTTGGTTGTTTGGGCGGACATGTTTCTTGGGTTTCTCCAGGGAGGTCCTTCCTATGGTTGGGATTCTCTTGTAAAAATGTCATAGGTTAAGTTGGCGTTTTGGACTGTGGGAGAGCAGGGAAGGAGAGAAAGTGGTGCTCCACGGGTAGAAATGCTCTAGTAGGTCCAAGCCTCTCGTTTTACATGACAAGTTAATTTAGAACCTCAGGGAGGTGATGCTCAATTCATAATGTAACTGAGCATTACAACCTAGGCAAATCTGGATTCTGCTGGGCACCATTGCAGTGGTAACACGCAACGGCATACTGAAATGGCACCCAAAGCAACAGGATTAATAGTGACTGGAAAGGTAACAGAAAGAGAAAGATCTGTCATTTACAAATCAAGCTGCTATTTATTCACGTGGGAATTAAAGAAGAAAACGTTCCATGTCATAATGTAAACTACTATTAAATCTGAAGGCATCAAAGAAAATTTTAAAAATGACTGCAGATGTTCCTGCAAACAACAAATCAAAGAAGAAAAACCTCACTTTCTTCTGAAACATTTTTAACCAAGAGGAATGCTCAGTATTTACACAAGAGACTTAAGAAAATGTCCAGCTGAATTTCAGAAGGGATTGGAAAGTCAATGTAGCTCAACAGCCTTCCACCAAAGGATACTGAGTTCTTCTTTCTACGGTTCACCTGCCACCTCGAGGGTGGAAATACATGGAAGTTTCTTATTTGAAGAGGGGAAGTTTAAGCCACTACAGATTTGTACTACTACAGATATGCAGTGGCTTAAACTTCCCCTCTTCAAACAGGGAATTTTCACGTATTTCCAAACTCAAAGTGGAAATTAATTTGTAGTGGCTTAAACGTCCCCTCTTCAAATAAGAAACTTCCGTGTATTTCCACTCTTGAGGTGGGAATTAATCTGTAGTAGTTTAAACTTCTCTTCAAATAAGAAACGTCTGTTTCCACCCTCAAGGGGCAAATTAATGTATAGTGGCATAAACACCTCCTTTTCAAATAAGAAACTTCCACATAATTACACTCTCAAAGGGGAAACTAATTTGTAGTGGCTTAAACTTCTCCTCTTCAAATAAGAAACTTCTGTGTACTTCCAACCTCAAGGGGGAAATTATACTGGTATAAACTCCCCCTTTTCAAATAAGAAACTTTCATGTTTTTCCACCCTCAAGGTGGAAATTAATTTGTAATGACTTAAACTTCTCCTGTTCAAATAAGAAACTTCCGTGTATTTTCACCCTTGAGGTGTCAAGTAGAACTTGAAAGAGAAACTCCAGTTCTCTATTGGTGGAAGGTTGTTGACATGGCTACTTGTAATTAGTTTGTAGAATGGTCCAACCATGTATTGGTATACATAACTGTTGCTGATCTCTTCCTGAAACTTTTTAAAATATACAGTTGACTCTGACAAGCCTTTATTGTCATATGTATATGCATACAATAGGAGATCAGGTTAAATATAGATCGGAAAATACAAATCAATATAGGGTAAAATTGGAGCTACGGCGCAGGAAAACAGCATAAAAACAGAAAAACCTAGTGGTTACTTATCAGAACGTAAGAAGAAACCTTGCTACTATTTTTGTTATTTCCGTATCTGGATTATCAAGTAAAAACAGAACCTTAAAATCGTCAGGAATCTCTGGGAATTGAGCTAGTATAGGGTACAAAAGATCCTGGCGGGGCACCAAATAAAAGGGACATTGAAGGAGAACATTGGGGGGGGGATATACAGTAAGAGCCACAGATAGTGCAACAATTAAAGGAACTGGCTATAAGATTTTAAATCAAAGTTGTGAATACTTTCAGTTTTGGAAGGGGGATATTGTGAGGTGTCATAGTAGGGCCACATATGCATTTGTGCAAGTAGGGTTGCCAGGTCTGGGTTGAAAAATACCTGGAGACTTTGTGGGTGGATCCAGGACAGGGTAGGGTTTGGGGAGGGGCCTCAGCATGGTCCAATGCCAAAGAGTCCCCCCGCCAAAGCAGCCGTTTTCTCCAGGGGAGCTGATCTCTGTCAGCTGGAGATCAGTTGTAAAAGTGGGAGATCCCCAGGCCCCACCTGGAGGCTGGCAACCCTATGTGCAAGTGGGGGAAATTGAAACTGCTGGACATCTTTTATTGCATTGCTCTTTTTATGGTGATCTTAGATATGCTTTTATTACTCCTGTCCTGCCCAAAATCCCTGGAAAATTGGAGGTATCCTATACTTTCCTTCTCTTGCACCATGAGCCTTGGATTACAGATAGAATCACCATATTTTGTGTAGCCACTAGAGCCTACCATAATTCTCTACTGATTGAGTCAATTTGGTTTTATATTATATCACCCATGTACCAGTTTTCTATGATGTTTTCTAAGGTCCCTGCCACACCGGGGGGGGGGGGGGGGGGCAAAGGGGAGGTTTCTTTTGAAAGCCGCACCAAAATAAACACGCAGCGGCGGGATCATACAGATCCCATGAGCCGCCGCGCAGTTGCTCCCCAGCACGATCAGATGCCGGGGACACTGGGGAGAAAGCGACGAGGCAGAGACGGAGGCTGCCGAACTGCGCATGTGTGAGCACGTGCAGTTCGGTCAGGGGTCTTAGATGTGCTGGCAGAAGGACGCGACGGCGATCCCACGGCCGCGCTTGATGCGGCCGTGCTGGTAAGTCCATCTCTGTTGGTGGTTTATTTTAGATGTGGCTTTTCAGCCTGAAGGGCCAGATCGGGGACGGGTGCACAACGTTTCCCATATGTTGCGGTGGGATTGTGCCTGTTTGCTGTGCCCCCGATCCGTCCCTCTCCCGGCCCAAAACCTTTCGTGTGACCGGGGCCTACATAAACTTTTTTTGGTATTGTATGATTTATCTTGTTGGTCTATGGCCATAATAAACAATTCATTCACTCATTCAACTGTGAATACGAAACAATGGCTTTGCTCAGTTCCAACCACATCCAACTTGTTGAGAGAACTATGGCCAGGATATCTGGGACACAGGATGTTCCTCTTGCCTTTTCTGAGCTGACGTTAATAACCAAAGAGGAACTCAGTGTGAACATCTGATCCCTTTCTTGTTCTTTCACTCCTCTGCTTGAGATACCACACATCTCGAATTATTGAACCATGTATACAGCTTGCAAGCAAAAGGACTAGGCACTGCAATCAAAGAATGCAAAGAATACTTACTTAAAGTAGGAGAATATGAGAAGGGAAATCAACAATGAAACAATGGAGAGGCTGTGGCCAATGATCGTGAGATAATACAAATTCAGAGCTGTCTGCAAGAAGAGACAGGAATATGTGTGAAAACGGGAACCGTGGCAAACTGAACCATACACCCCAGTCCCATCTCAAACATTCCATGCAGCAGCTGACTAACAGAAACAGCAAAGTGCCAATACTCAATCACTTTATGCCAGAAAAATTACTAATTTTTAAACTCAAATTATAAACTGGAGTTGGGTCCAGTTTTACCTCCCTAAATTTTGGACTGGAACCAGATTTAGCATTCTTCAACTGAAATAGTTGGTCAATTGCAGGACAGCAGGGCAATTCGGCAGTCAGAACCACTGGCTTTTACACACCAAGCCTCCTCTCTGCACTTGCTTAACAAGAATTCACTTTCACTGAGGACACTTGTGGATTAAAAAGTGTGATTCATTCATAATGTGCCCATTAACAAATAGGCACAATACAGGAAATTCACAAATACCTCCCCTCTCCCAGTAACCCTTGTTCCACGCCCCAAATAGAACGGTTAATTTTCCTTCAGTGGTTTTAGGTGAGGGAGCAGTAAATGAATCCAGACAAACATGAATGAAATTATCTGATGGACAAGACAAATCGCTAATGCAGCAAAACTGGGCCCCTCACAGGCAAATTGGTGGTTTCCAAGTACTCGGGGGACTCCCCTCACAAGTGCAAAACCATGGCTTTGTAAACTAACCAAAAGATAGAGACCCCCTCCAGAAAAAACTAGTCTGAGGAGGACTGACTAACAACACAGAATATGGAAAGATTTTTCCCCCTTTCTAAAGGGAATAAGGGGAGGGGGGTTAGCTTGTTCAAGGCCTTGAGAATTTATACAGTCCTGGAGAGGGAAATCTTGAAGAAGTGACTTCCAAATTGTTCTTCTCTCCTGGCATTTCCTCATCGTGTACAGTACATATTTCTGAAATCAAAGCTTCTGTATCAAGCTACACCTGTTCCTTACCAGCCCTTTTTACCTCACTGCTGTACAATAAGGCCCGTTGGAGTGCGACAAGGGCGAGGCTCTTTTCAGTCGTGGTCCCAACCTGGTGGAATGCGTTGTCTGAGGAGACTAGGACCTGTCTGTGTTCCACAGGGCACGTAAGTCGGAGTTATTCCACCAGGCATTCCGCTAATGTAATTTTGGTGGGCTCTACTGTCAACGCAGCTGCTGATTTTTATGCCAAAAGCATTCATTTACTATGTGCTGAGTCTTTAACTCAATTGTATTGAAATTGTGGCTTCATTTTGCTATTGTGTTGCTATGTTGTTCGCAGCCCCAAGCCCCATTCTGGGAGAGGGGTAGGATAAAAATCTAATAAAATCTAATAAATAAAATATTGGCTATCATCCTAACCCATCGGCCCTCAACAGAAATTACATAGGCCATGAGGTTGAAGGGGTTCCCATGCCTTCTCTGCTCCCCAGATCTCCTCTCCTGTGGATCCTCAAGTAGCGTGTGGGTATTTATTATAGGCAGAGGTCATTTCGGGGGGGATCGCAGTTCCCCCGGGTGAGGTACGGGGGGCACATGACGAAGCCCCGCCCCCTGCTTCCAGCCGCTCCGCTTCCGGCCCTCATTCAGCCAAGAGGAAGTTGCTTCCTCCCTGCCTCTCCCCACCTCTGCCTGCCTGGGGCCAGGGAGGGCCTTCGCGGGGCTTCCTTGCACTCCCGCCGGCCTTGCAGGTCCACCGCCGGGGGGCTCAGCAGTGGAGCTGCAAGGCCGGCGGTGGCGGCCGGGACCGTTGGGGGCGGGGTGTGTGGCCTTATGACACACTTCCGGTGATGTCAGGGTGTGTGGCCTTATGACACACTTCCGGTGATGTCAGGGGGTGTGGCATAAGCTAATGAGTTATGCTAATGAGTCCCCCTAGCTCTTTTTCTACGAAACGACCCCTGATTATAGGTATACTATTATAGATACTTATTATAATATATGTCAATTATTTAGTATAGTCTGGTCTGCTTCTTCCTCTGCCTCAGGAGACAGGGCTGGCTCCCAGCATCAAGCCAAAGCTGATAAGGTCCAGCAGAACATTAGAAATCAATTCACTTCTAAACGAGGCCTGAAAACTGTGACCCATCAAGGCCTGTTACCTCTGGGTTCTGTTTCCTTCCTAAAACAGGGTAATCCCCCCGCCAAAAAAGGAGGGAAGGGGGTCAAGGACCCTGCTACCTGCAGTTTGGTGGGTCACAAGTTGGGCAGGCTGGTTCTAAACTGAGCTGCGTGCCGGCTCCTTCCTCTTGTGAGAGACCAAGAAGGAACTCAGAGCTAATTAGAGTTCAGTAGGTTCAAGTCTCCTCTCCTCCTCCGGAAGGAAGCCACAAGGCTTTTATAAATAGACCTTGTGAACCCATGAGACTTGACTGGACTGTCATTCCATAGGAACTGCGATGGCCCTCGAGCTGTCATTAAACTGAATGTGCCTCCCAAACTTCAAAAATATATTTGAAGAAGAAGAGTAGGTTTTTATCCCCCCCTTTTTCCTGCCGTAAGGAGTCTCAAAGTGGCTTACAATCTCCTTCCTCTCCCCACAACAGGCACCTTGTGAGGCAGGTGGGGCTGAGAGAGCTCTGAGAGAATTGTGATTGGCCCAAGGTCACCCAGCAGGCCTCATGTGTCTCAAAGCAACTTACAATCGCCTTCCCTTCCTCTCCCCACGACAGGCACATTGTGAAGCAGGTGGGGCTGAGAGAGACCTGAAAGAATGGTGACTGGCCCAAGGTCACCCAGCAGGCTTCATGGGGAGGAGCAGGGCATCAACCCCATTTTCCACATACGGGTCTACTGCTTTTAACCACTACACCACGCTGGCTTTGAATGGCCATGACCACTGTGGCAGCCTGGACATTAGCAGAACAGCTTGAAGATTAGACTGCAAGTGAGGCAAAACCTCTCTCTCTTTCTCTTTCACCTTCTTTGGCAGAGTTCTCTCAATACCATTCTATGCCACTCTATGGTTTTGTTTCTCCTGAGTTGTATTCCCTCTCCTCCCATTTTCACACATTGTAAAGTCTAGTGACTCCAGCAAGCTCTGCTTAACAGATGCCTTGCTCGAAAAACATTATACCCAGAGTGCACTCTAAGAAGGAGGTAAAACAATGTGGAAAGCTGCCCACAGCCCCATAGCCAG